CCCCCCCCCCCCCCCCCCCGGGGCAGGGCAGCCCAGCCCCCTGGTGAAGGTGGGGACCCCCTCCCCCCCCCATTCCTCCACCTGTGCAGGAAGGTCTTGGGTCTCCTCCCACCCTTATTGGGGGGCGCAGATATACACCCACCCTATGGGGTCCTGGGGGGGGGCAGATGTGTGCATCCACCCCCCCTGTGGTTTTTTGGGGGGGCAAGAGGGGGAACATGTGCTCCCAGCTCCCTTTGCTGGGGTGGGGGGACAGATGACACGTGCACTCAGCTGTGTGGATCCCTGGGGGGGGCGGGGGGCAGGGAGGGCACAGGATTCATGCACCCAACCTCATGGGACCCTGTGGTTTGGGGGATGGGGGTGTGTCAGACACGTGCACCCCCCCCCCCCCTGGGCCCCTGGGGGTTTTGGGGGGGGGAGACAGGACACATGCACCTGCCCCATAGGACCCTGTGGTTTGGGGAGGGATAGACGTGACAGATGCACCCACCCCATGGGACCCTGAGGTTTTGGGGGGGACATGACATATGCTCCCAGCCCCGTGGGACCCTTCAGCGTGTGGGGGGGACACGTGTTACCCAGTTCTGTGGGACCCTGAGCTCTGAAGGGGGACACACGTACACCCCATCCCCACGGGGACCCTGTGGTTTGGGGGGGAACAGGGGATGTGCACCCAACCCCATGGGACCCCACAGGGTGTGTGTATGGGGGGGCACCCATGGAGGGGAAGGAGTGGCAGGTCCCCTCCTGGCATGGGGTCTCTCGCAGCTCACAAGTACGTGCCTCGTGCCATCCTGGTGGACCTGGAGCCGGGGACGATGGACAGCGTGCGCTCGGGTGCCTTCGGCCACCTCTTCCGCCCCGACAACTTCATCTTCGGTAGGTCCCCGGGGACAGGGGACGCCATCACTCGTGTCCCCAGACCCCTCCCGGGCTGTCTCCATCCCCGGGGCACTCGGCGGGTGCATCCCCACCCGTGCCGCGGGGCCCAGCACAGCCGGCACGCCGCCAAACCTCGGTGGTTTCCACTTCCCACCCCACCCTGGCCTCAGATCTTGCCGATGCCGCCGCCGGCAGCTCCCGTCCCCTCCCCGGCGTGGGTGTGGGGGTGCCGGCGGCCATCGGGTGTCTCTTTTTTTTCCCCCTGGCAGGGCAGAGCGGGGCTGGGAACAACTGGGCCAAGGGACATTACACAGAAGGGGCTGAGCTGGTGGACTCGGTGCTGGACGTGGTACGGAAGGAATGTGAGAACTGCGACTGCCTGCAGGGCTTCCAGCTGACCCACTCGCTGGGCGGGGGCACCGGCTCCGGCATGGGCACCCTCCTCATCAGCAAGGTGCGGGAGGAGTATCCCGACCGCATCATGAACACTTTCAGCGTGGTGCCGTCCCCCAAGGTGTCGGACACGGTGGTGGAGCCCTACAACGCCACACTCTCTATCCACCAGCTGGTGGAGAACACAGATGAGACCTACTGCATCGATAATGAAGCTCTCTACGACATCTGCTTCCGCACCCTCAAGCTGGCCACTCCCACTTATGGCGACCTCAACCACCTTGTCTCAGCCACCATGAGTGGTGTCACCACCTCCCTCCGCTTCCCCGGCCAACTCAATGCTGACCTCCGCAAGTTGGCCGTTAACATGGTGCCCTTCCCACGTCTCCACTTCTTCATGCCTGGCTTTGCCCCACTGACAGCCCGTGGCAGCCAGCAGTACCGTGCCCTCACTGTCCCTGAGCTCACCCAGCAAATGTTTGATGCCAAGAACATGATGGCTGCCTGTGATCCTCGCCATGGCCGCTACCTCACCGTGGCCACCGTCTTCCGGGGCCGCATGTCCATGAAGGAAGTGGATGAGCAGATGTTGGCCATCCAGAGCAAGAATAGCTCCTACTTCGTGGAGTGGATCCCCAACAACGTCAAGGTGGCCGTCTGCGACATCCCTCCCCGGGGGCTGAAGATGTCCTCCACCTTCATCGGCAACAGCACAGCCATCCAGGAGCTCTTCAAGCGCATCTCAGAGCAGTTCACAGCCATGTTCCGCCGCAAGGCCTTCCTCCACTGGTACACGGGCGAGGGGATGGACGAGATGGAGTTCACTGAGGCCGAGAGCAACATGAATGACCTGGTGTCCGAGTACCAGCAGTACCAGGACGCCACGGCTGAGGAGGAAGGCGAGATGTACGAGGACGACGAGGAGGAGTCGGAGGCGCAGGGCGCCAAGTGATGCCCGACGCACCCCCCTGCCGCCCACAGCCCCTCCGGCTTCGCGCTGCCACCCTGGCCGGGCTCCTCCCGCGTGTGCCCCTTTGGTGTCTCCTGACCCCGTCCCCCCCATGAGCCAGCTCGGCCCCCTCTGCCCCCCCCTCCTGCCTCCCCTCTTTTCGTTTTTTACTGGTTCGTGTCTATTATTTTTTTTGAATACTTAATAAATTTATTGCTGTCCAGGTACCACCTGTCTGCGGCTCCTGGGGGAGGGAGGGAGGGA